CTAAATCTATCAATAATATTTTATGAAAATTAAAATCAGTGTTGAATTATGATCATTGTCTCTTTTAATCATTACTTTTTCCTTGATTTGTCACAGATTAGAAGAGGTTTTCATGCTTAGTCTCAGGACGGCAGATGGTCTTAGTAACGAGGTATTGGTAATAATGTTATGACAGTCAACAGAAAGTAAAGTGGAACCTTGATACAGTGAAGGCAAAGACCGGCAAAACATGTTCTCTATAATGAGGTTTCGTTGTATCAAAGGTTCTTCTCCATATATTTTTCTATTACTGGCAGGAAGGATATTGTTTGTTATGCCAAGGACTTTGTTATATAGAGATTTTTTAAACTGAGGTTCCACTGTAACCAAATTTTATTATGCTGTGTTAGGCAACTTTCAAACTTTTTTTTAGTCTACTACAGGTAGGTAAATTCTAGCACATGACCATTCAAATGAAGTTTTTCATGTGGTGCTGTCTGTTTATTCAAATGGAGCACTGTTTTCCTAGTTGTATAAGAAAAATGTACCATATGTTGCAGATGAGATCTAGAAAATCTGAGAGTGCACAAGAAACCATTTGGCAAGTGCATAATAATCTGCACAAGTGGAATCATTTCTTTATTAAAATCGCCTTAAAGACTAAAATAAAAATAAAAATGCCCCCCAAAAACATGCATACGCTAGCCATATTTGTAGAGCATGGTATAATGGCTCATAACCCATGATGGCAAAGCCAATGAAAAGTCTTGAATTGCATCATCCAATGATCCAGGTTTTAATAATGTTCATTATTCTGTGCTTAACTGTCTTGTAAGGTGGTTCTAACATTTTAGTCTGGGGATGAAACCCTGTTGCGTGACCATTCAAATGAAAGCTACTGGACAGTACATTATTTGTGTAATTGTTTCTGATAATCAATTATTGTTTTCACAATAACTGTCTAATTTCTCGCACACTGATTGGCTCATTTTTATCATCAATAAGAGTACAGACAGATAAAATTTTAATTTATGCAAGCTTTCAAGTTCAACTTTCAGCTGTCAAACTGTCAACTTTTTAACCAATGAGATTTTATGTACTTTTTTAAGTAGCCAATCAAAAAGTGAGAAAAGCTTAATTGACACGTCATTTTGAATAAAATTAACTTATGTTTGTTTATGGCATCTTTTCCCCTCATTTATTCCCAGCATTTGACCATTTTGGGGTCTTGTTATTGTAAAAAACAAATTGATGTCACAGCCACTTTGACAATGTTATGACGCAATTTATCATCAATAAGAGGACAGGGGCATAAAAAGCTGACGTCAATTTATTAAAATGGTTTTGTTTGTGTAGAAGTGGATGAGCTTGTCCCCACTTGACATGTCACTTTATGATGCGTTCAAAGACAGTAAGGATGTTCAAGATCTCATACAGTCTGGCTTCCTGCTATTAAGTGAAAAGTAAGTGTCTTAATTGCATTGTCATACCACTTGCAAGTATCGTGGCACTTAAAATTGTTCATGTTTCACTCATGAATCATGAAACCTCTGACTTCTAATATTCCGTGAAAAAAATGAAGATAACTAAAAGTGATGGCATTAATCACCAGGTGTCAATGTTTGTTTTAAAGTAGAATATTGTTTTTAATATTTTGTTGGTTAGCTTGAAAAATCATTATTAATAACTACTTTAGAGCAGCAATAAACGAAAAAAGTAACTTAAGGTAAAACCTGCGCTCACATTGGGCAAAAGATATTTGTTTTCGAAAACTCTGTTATTCAATGAGGTTTCTTCCAACCAAAATTTGTCTGCGTTGTTTTTCTAAAACTTGGTTGAAGTAATTGGTTAAGCTGTAAGGACGGGTAATTTTGCCACCCAAAGCATTGTTGATCATCAAAATACTCGGCATTTAGTTCCGTTTTAGTTTGTAAAAAAGGGAAAGTCTGCATACGAGTCAAGTGGCCCATCACACCGGAGGTTGTCCCTGTTGCTGTAGCACTGTGAGAGTAAAGTGTCTTGCCCAAGAACACAAAAGAATGTCCCCGGCCAGGGCTCGAACCCAGACCGCTCGGTCTGGAGAGGAGCGCACTAACCATGAGGCCACCGCACCTCCCACGTTTAAGTTTGTATGATTCTGTGTTATATGGATGCATTTTTTCTTTATCTATTTCAGGGGCATCAAAGCCACCTACAAGGGCTTGTCTGTACTGGACAGCATTGTTCCAATATTACTGCTCCATCTTGAACAGAGAGCAAGAACCTCGTTAAAATCACAAGCAGATTAATGAGCAATTTGATCAACAATAGTTATTCTACTTCTGGAGAAAACCGTTAAACAACTAGAAAAGAGACTTACATATTAACATGAATAATCCTCCTCAAACATTTGACAATCACTTCAAATGAAAAGTGTAATTTCTAACTCTAATTTTAACTCTAATAATTTCTAACTCTCTGGAATGCTGTTAATACACCTTTCAGGCCATAAAATTGTGGCCATGTTGGAAAGGAGTGATGGTTAAAATAAGAAACTGACTGACGAACATTTTTAATTAACAATGTTAGATCTTTTCAACTTTTCGGATTGCAGGAAGCCAATTTATTATGAATCATGAATCATGAATCATATTAGTATACATTATACGAACAGATGCACGTATTTTTTTTCTTATAATAAACAAAACTTTGCAGCTCTGTGTGTTTACTTGTTCTTCTATTTAAGAAACAGAAAACATGTACCATGTTTCTATCGAGTTTTAGTATAAATCTACTAGCATTCTATCACACATGCCATTCGCTGATTGGCTACACTACTCACCGTCTATTCTGTTGTAGATAGTGAGTAGCCTAGCAGTGTGCGCTTGTTAACAAAATGGTGGCCCCCTCTCTTAACGTTTTCGCAATGTCTGTGAAGAGGATTTAGATGAAATTTTGAACGACTAGTAGATTTACACTAAATTAATTAGATTACTTGCCCCCGATTTCTATGCGTGATGGTTGACCCGGGCTGCACCCATGTCAACTATAACGCGATAGGAATCTTGAGCTCATAATGTTATTGTTTGATATATAATGGAGGTGACGTGTCCTGCAGGTTTCAATATCCAAGACACTGTACTCTCACAATACCCCTCTAACCTAAGGAAACCTTGAAGATCACTGGGGGTGGGGGTTACCTAATATGGATTAGAATGTAGCCCGAGGGTGTGGCAATAATCAGTGTTCTTTCTTGCTATGAAAGCAAGGATAAGCTGTGGCATCAATTTGAACTTGTTGGCCCAAATGTGACTCAAGGTTTTTTCATTCTAAAAGCCAACATTGCTGGTATAGAGATAATGCCAGACGCTGTAGTGTCGGTACTACAGCTTGCTGCTCAAGAGTAGTCTCTAGAACAGTGTGTTACGTTTTGCGTTCTGCCCCACTAATCCGCCTGTTCTGCAGGTTCCATACTAGTGAATATAGGCCATCTGATTGACCATTACTTTAGCGCAAAAATTCAGTCTAAGCACAGCCACGGATGGCGGATACCACACACGTATTTGTTTTGTTTTGTTTTGTTTTAATTGTANTAATCCTCCTCAAACATTTGACAATCACTTCAAATGAAAAGTGTAATTTCTAACTCTAATTTTAACTCTACTAATTTCTAACTCTCTGGAATGCTGTTAATACACCTTTTAGGCCATAAAATTGTGGCCGTGTTGGAAAGGAGTGATGGTTAAAATAAGAAAATGACTGACAAACATTTTTAATTAACAATGTTAGATCTTTTCAACTTTTCGGATTGCAGGAAGCCAATTTATCATGAATCATGAATCATGAATCATATTAGTATACATTATACGAACAGATGCATGTATTTTTTTTCTTATAATAAACCAAACTTTGCAGCTCTGTGTGTTTACTTGTTCTTCTATTTAAGAAATAGAAAACATGTACTGTGTTTCTATCGAGTTTTAGTATAAATCTAAGCGTTCTATCACGCATGCCGTTCGCTGATTGGCTGCGCTACTTGCCATCTATTCTGTTGTAGATAGTGAGTAGGCTAGCAGTGTGCGCTTGTTAACAAAATGACGGCCCCCCTCTCTCAACGTTTTCGCGATGTCTGTGAAGAGGATTTAGATGAAATTTTTGAACGACTAGTAGATTTATACTAAATTAATTAGATTATTCGCCCCCGATTTCTATGCGTGATGGTTGACCTGGGCTGCGCCCATGTCAACTATCATGCGATAGAAATCTTGAGCTCATAATGTTATTGTTTGATATATAATGGAGGTGAGGTGTCCTGCGGGTTTCAATATCCAAGACACTGTACTCTCACAATACCCCTCTAACTTAAGGAAACCTTGAAAATCACTGGGGGTGGGGGTTACCTAATATGGATTAGAATGCAGCCCGAGGGCGTGGCAATAATCAGTGTTCTTTCTTGCTACGAAAGCAAAGATAAGCTCTGGCATCAATTTGAACTTGTTGGCCCAAATGTGACTCAGGGTTTTTTTATTCTAAAAGCCAACATTGCTGGTATAGAGATAACACCAGACGCTGTAGTGTCGGTACTACGGCTTCCCGCTCAAGAGTAGCCTCTAGAACAGTGTGTTGCGTTTTGCGCTCTACCCCACTAATCCGCCTGTTCTGCAGGTTCCATACTAGTGAGTATAAGCCATCTGATTGACCGTTACTTGATCGCAAAAATTCAGTCTAAGCACAGCCACGGACGGCAGATACCACACACATATTTGTTTTGTTTTGTTTTGTTTTGTTTTGTTTTAATTGTAGCGTACGTCACTCAGTATGGAATTTTGCGCTTTGCGCTCTGCCCCACTAATCCGCCTGTTCTGCAGGTTCCATACTAATGAATATAAGCCATCTGATTGACCGTTACTTTAGCGCAAAAATTCAGTCTAAGCACAGCCACGGACGGCAGATACCACACACATATTTGTTTTGTTTTGTTTTGTTTTTTTTAATTGTAGCGTACGTCACTCAGTATGGAATTTTTCCTGGGTTAAAATCACAGAGGCGTCGTGAAAGGGGAATGTATGCGAGCGAACAAAGGATGCAACTCTTGAGATACACAGATTGAGAAACAGCGCCGAAAAAAACCTGCAATCAGAACTAAACAATGGTGGCCGAAAAGCTCTTTTGTAGAGCTGCATTTAGAACATTTTCAGGAACAACTGCTCAAACCACAGGGTACATTAGTGACAAATACGTTATGTTTAACTTCCAAGGGCATGGTTAATGAGCTTTAAATAGCTTTTGATTCTTCACAAAAATAGGGTATGGTCTGTGCACTCTGGCCCGCAATTAAGTACGATACTTAGACGAAACTGCCATCATCATTGATGAAGATGAAATGTCAGTTCATTTGTTACTTGCGTGAGAAAGAAAAGGGTGGAGTCCCTGACAAGATTAGAACCCATGACCTCCCAGATACTGTTGGGCACTCTGTGACAACTAACATTAAAGATACAGGGAGACTTAGTGAGCCCGGGGGGTACTCCGTTATATGGCCTATATAGGTATGCGTGGCTCCAAAGGGTATGGTTTTTCACCCATTTTGGTCATAAATAGGGTATCAATTTTTAGTCATTTTGATCATTAAAAGGGTCTGGCAGAAGCATATCACCTCGATGAGGTGATATGCTTCTAGGTCTGGTTATTGCACTCCAGTCTTGAAGTGGGCATCATTTTTAGAAGAAGCTACTTTCTCATCATTATCAATAAGACTGATCAACAAAAGCCCTTCACAATGCCTTTACCATCGGTCTGAACAACAAAACCAAGTATAAGGCAGGTCACGGAACCAGGTATTGGTTTAAGGTCAGGTCATAAATAGGGTATTGAAAATCGCAGATTTTGGTCATAGATAGGGTAAGGTTTTTGAGAAGCGGGCCACACACCCCCACCCAATTTTTCTCTGAGTGCCCCCCTCCCCCGGCCTAGTGAGCTAGGCCATTTGCTAGGTTCATATGTAACACGTGTCTTGATCAGCAACTACTGTCTGTATCATCATCAGCAACTACCATCACCATTATTTATTTCTTTGGAAGCACCATAGAGTCTGGTCTGAATAGTGTGTAAACTGTTTATTTGTGTCAATTTCTGAAAAAAGGGTTAGCAAAATTCCCACATCTTTTGGTGTGAAATATGGTAAAAGTTTCCAGAGGAATGCTGCTCGCCTGCAGCAAACTTGCTGGAAAGTACCCATCCTTAGAGTTTCACACAGACCTTGAAGAGGCTCAAATCTTGAATAACTCAATAGGCTCTGAATTTTCTTCTATTATCTTTTTATTATCTATGATCTCTTGGGTCATATTTACTTCATTATTATTATAAATTGAAACGAAAGAAAGAAAGGGAGAAAGAGAGAGAGAGAGAGAGAAAGAAAGAAAGAACAAACAAATGAAAGAAAGAAAAAACATTGCAGCCTATACTCCAATCTGGCACACTCTTTGTAAGAGGACAGTGAAAGATAGAGAAGAAGAAACACCTCAGGAACATCATCGAAGTGCCCCTGCCAAGAGGTCTTCTGGTATTGAAGATGTGTGGCTAGGACCATGGCTCACTGTCTC